ATCAAAAATAAAGAAACAAAATGAAGGAATGGAATCGAACTAAAGAAACCAAATAGTTATATTTGCTGCACATTTTAGCTTTTAATGCTCATAGAAGTCTTTGAATGATCTGGTTTAACATAACAGTTACAGTTCTATGTTTGTGATTCTGTATTGCCAATCCACATGTTTCAATGTAGAATGCACCTCGCTGAGGACTACGCCTTCCACAAGCTCATTTCTTTTAGAAATTGGTTGTATACAGCTGACACTTTGAATATTTCTGATCGACTTTGGTGAAAAACATGGTATCCGTCATAGCAAAAATCATGTTTTTAGATATATCGTATATTAAACAATTAGTACCCCAGGAGAGTATTACATGACTAGTGAGAGTGTATCGAATGAACTAGTGCACAATCTATTCACTGTTCCCAGAAGCCTAATGATCTACTAATCTTATAGAAGGCCAGAAGAGTCTAACATATACTATTTAGAGGGAGGAACCACAACAATATATATATATATATATATATATATATATATATATATATATATATATATATATATATATATATATGAAACATTTCTCAGAGTTAACTTGGAAAAAACAAAACAATATTTATATAGAAGACAATAGAAAAAACTGTATTATTAGTTGACTCGATTCGTCCAACGTGCATTTTTTCGATTTGTTTATGCTTTGAAAATATCCACATTGGACGAAACTCGTCGGCTAATATTATAGTTTCCTTATTGTCTTTAACTTTACACACACACACACACACACACACACACACACATACACACACACAAACATATATATATATGTATAGATAGATAGATAGATAGATAGATAGATAGATAGATGGATAATCTAAGAAATCCGAAACAAAATTCAAATAACACCCAAAAGACAATCAATCCCGACAAAAATGTAAAATTAGCCTGTAGGCAAAAATAGCTATAATAACCTACCCAGACAAAAACAATCTACTAAATGAACGAATTGAACTTAAAATACAGACATGTAAACAATTTGTTATTACGTCAATTAACATCGAAAACTGAAAACAAACAAGAATAAATGAAATAAATAATTAAAATAATAGCAAGTAAAATAAATTAATCCGAACAAAAGAATAAGTAAATAAACTAAGTAAATAATCAACAAATTATCAAACAACGTATGTACAGATAAACAAAGAAAAAGCAGTCATAACAAACAATAAAACGCCTGCCAAAATAATAATTAGAATAATATATTAGATCAGTATATATAAATATTCGAGAAATCGCGTGACAATTGCGTTTAACACGAAACAATCTATCTATATATAATGGCCTCTACCGTCAGTTTGGATGTATGAGGATCTGACAGATTATTGATTCAGTTATGAAATTTTCTGCGATAATCTTAAGTGATATTTAAGACCCGCTAGTGATTTAAAAATGAGTCCCATGATATGGAATCGGCTATTGCTCAACATTTAGTTGAGAATATAGCTTAGATGAAGTTATCAAAAAAGAGTGGTTTAGAATTATTCTACAGCCGATTCAATAATCATTTTGAAGATTTTGAATCGGTCTGTATAGATTTAAAAACCTTCTCTGCCAGCAAAAAGAATTTATAAGGTCTCAAATCTGTTGGGGATATTTTATTTTAACTGTCCTCGCTATTTATTTACCCTAATGATAACCATCGTCATATAAGTATATATATATATATTCGTTATTTTATATAAATCCCCTTTTTTGCTCTTCAATATCATTATTATTCATTTCGCTAATCCAACGATTGTCTCCTGATGAGATGTTGGCTGAAAGGGCTCCCTAGATTTTTAATATTAAAATCAATGGTTTCCTAGTTTTTTAAAACTATTTATAAATTTTGTACCTCCAAACATTTGTTTATATATATATATATATATATATATATATATATATATATATATATATATATATATATATAAAACCACATCCATGGTAATAGTTCGGTTGATCTGTTCTCTATGGCATGTAGACTAATTTATGCGCGATACTACACTGGCTAAATTTTACTCTCTATCTTTAAAAAGATCCATTTTATTACTGTTGGTTTTATGTCATTAAGTAAGGAGTAATTGCTGCACGTAAGGTAGTGAAAAAAGAGTGGTTTAAATTTCATATTGCTAACTCTTTTTGTTTCCAATATTATCTTCAAAACAATATTTCTCATCGTTCGACAGCAGTTCGTTTTTCTCAGTGTATTTCTGCCTGTATCAAGATTCTCCAGGCCTAAAATTTTCTTGCAGTTATTCTGATCTTGTGATCTCTCTTGAGATCCTCAAATCATGTTACTTATTAACATTTATATTGTCATTCCAAAACGTTGATATTCTCCCTAAGAAGGTACTTCTTGACCAAATCTGATTTTCATGTACGAAGATAAAGCTATACGCCAGTCATTGCTTTCCCTAAGGACACTGATATATTGCTCCTTGTTTTAAGTATTCTCAGCATTTGCAAGTTTTTCAAGTCTGTTTACTTCAAACTACACTTAGATCCTTAGATTATTGCTGACGAAGTTGTGAACGTGGGTGCAATTTTCTATTGAATTGAGGATTTCTTTTCTTTCTTTTTGACGAGATAGCATTTTTATCTCTCTACAAGTGAGCATTTGGAATGCCTTTATGAGCTTTTGTCCGCGTGGAGAAATAAACGTTCTCTTTGTCTTCAAGTATGGATTAAGCCTACTTTATTCAGTGTCCGCTGAAGATCTGCTTTTATGTAGCAATTCAAAACTCACTGAGGATCGTCATGATGCCTTTAACTGCATTTTTTTTTATTTCATGGATCCTTTGTTAACTGACGCAGCGTGTTTCTAGTCAATTGAGTGAATGCAATCAGATTCAAACCACATCTCTTAATGGTTTTAATTTTTCATATATTTTTTCATTACACTTTGTGTACAGGAACTTGCTCAGATATGTTATTGTAACTTGCATTCTCCTGGCGAGTAGCTACGTGACCCAAACTTATATCTTCAATTCATCCTTGTGCAATACATATTTTTGTTTATCAATTTTAATATATATATATATATATATATATATATATATATATATATATATATATATATATATATATATATATAAAAGTCTCAGTTATCTTAAATACAAATTGTTTAAATTTGATTTTTAATACAAAAATCAATATATTTATTTATTTCATTATAGAGTTTTACGTCCTTCTATTTTAATATGTATATTTCAATGAATACATTTAATTATTGCATTTTCGATACATTTAATTAGATATAAATAAAATATTAATCCCTGTTTAATTGATATAAATATATATATATATATTATATATATATATATATATATATATATATATATATATATATATATATATATAATAATAATAATAATAATAAGATGAAGAACTGTATAATATATGGACTGTCCCAGCATAGCGTTAAATATATGCGTTTATAAAACTTAGATTATGTAACGGTCAGTCTCTACCCAGCAAATGAAGATTGTGTTATGCATGTAACCTGAGTCATGCTACCGCTGAGGCATAACACACACACACACACACACACACACACACACACACACACATATATATATATATATATATATATATATATATATATATATATATAAAAATAGTATTAAAAGTGCCCAATACAAATATAAAAGATAAAAAAGGATAGCATTGCATTTTAAGTATAGAAAATTAGGAGATCACCCGATTTTCCTTCTTTGGTTTCAACATTTCAGTAGATTCACGCCATTTCGGTCAATTTATTTCCTAGCATTTTAAATTTTTCAAAAATATGAACGCTATATATTTTTTAAAATCAAATTAATGAGCCCACAAGTTGAGGGGTGAAAGAAGGTGATAAGATGGATGGGGAATGCAAGTGTATTTGAAATGTACCGGTGGGAGATTAAATGAAATATACACATTTTCTTTTCATCCCACTTCAAAAGAACTGAAAAAGATATTTTTAGTATGTATGCAACGAGACACAATTTACGATTTTTGATTGAAATTGTTTTTCTGTCTGTAAAGGTTATTATACTTATTTTCTTGTTACTAAATGTAGCAGAGGTTGCTATTATTACTAATATATATATATATATATATATATATATATATATATATATTATAAATTTACTAATTGAAAAATATAGTTCCATCGCTACACAGGAATTACCAGGTTTCAAAATCAAAAACTATAACTTCGAATTCAATTTTCTTAAGCTCGCTTTAAAATGTAACAGGCCGAGGGACTTTAATTTAATTCTATAAGTGAATTTGAATTTTTTAGTTTCTGTTTTTGAAACATGCTAATTCACTTGTAACGATTAAATCATATTTTAAATAATACATTTATAATATTTATGCTCTTTAGATTATAATTGAACACCGTTTTGTAAAAATAAAAAAAAATTAATTAAACAGAAGATCAGACTATATGTCATACATTTCTTTTGTCTTTAATGTAATAATATATATATATATATATATATATATATATATATATATATATATATATATATATATATATATATATATTTCAATTTCAATTTTGGCATGTGATCGTTTTAAAAAGGATTTCGTGATTTATTTTTCTTATTCAAATGATTCCGGAAATCATTTAATATGATTTTACCTGTATAATTGTTGACTATTAAATGTATGCCAAATATATAGCTCAAAATTCGCTTTACTTAAATGATCTGTTACTCAAAAATATATTTCGACAACGTTCACCTGCCACAAAGGAGCTATCTCTTAAATGATTAATAGGACATTTTAACTTCAATCGATGACCATTAACAGAAAATATTTACAATGATAAAACAACCGGTTATTTTTTGGTGCTGGAATTCATTATTTATCAAAACGACACTTTCTTCAAAGAATAGTGTCCAATTAAATTAGGACGTCGTTCAGATGAAAATGACCTAAAATATTTAGAAGATGGTGTCTGTCTCTAAGTGATCAGCTGAACTTTCGAGGCTTACTATCTTAGTATTGTGTTTCTTGTTCTTCACCATCTGTTTCTTCCACTTCTTTTTTCTTTTTCTTTTCTTCGTGTGGCTTTGCTTCAGCTTGTCGTCGTCGACGTTTTTGTTGTTCTTCTTCTTCAGACACTTATTTCCCATTTTCTGCTTCTTCTTCATCTTCACCATTGTTTCTGTTTCATTTCTTTCGCTTCATCCTCTACTACTACTACTACTACTACTACTACTACTACTACTATTACAGCTGTTGCTTCTCTCTACTTCTTCTTCTATTTCTACTTTTCCGACTTCTTCTTCCTTCTGCAATTATGATGACAGATGAAAAGCAAAATGATCAATGTGGGAAATTTATTGGTCTGCAACATAATGCATTCTCTCTACCGATAAAAATGTCATGTTTTACTAATAAAGCCAGATCTCTCCATCGTTGATGACACTGAGAAATTCACTAACGACTCCATGATTTTTCTAACATCGTTTTCCTGGTCTTTGCTATCATCCGGCCAGCGCGTTTACAAAAATGTCAGTTGGTGGATTTTTTTTTTCTCTCTCTCTCACGGACATATTCGATGAGAAATAATGGCTTTGTACACACGTTCATGTTAGGATGAGTTTTGCCAAGATGCCGCTAAGTTTATGCTTGTAAAAATGCAAACAATATTGTGGAATACTGTCAGTTTGTAAGGCATTAAGTAGCAGAAAAACCAACGCCAGTTTCTGACTTCAAGGATCAACATTAACAAATAAAAATCTTTACTTCGTAGTGTTCTCTGCATTTATACATGCATATGCAATTTCTAAAGAAGTAATGGAAACAAAATTTTTCCTTACTTCCTTAACTATTCAGGCAGGTAGACCAAATAAAATACTGTTTAAAATGAACGGAGCGTCAAGTAAATATGTGTATCCACTAAAAATAACGTTTAAAATGATGAACATAAGTCGGATAAACAAATGAAAAACGATTATTTTTTTAGAAATTGCTTTGTTAATGTTTCGAATATGAAAAAGGCCAGTTATGAAGTTACGGGACTCTAAATGAGATGCATGTTCTTCATGGAAGCATACAAGCTTTGCTTAATAGCCACGCTCTTCCTGTTCGAATTGATTAAAGCACACCGTGTATAACGACGTTTTCACCTGCAAAGGGAGTCGCAGGTTCGAATCAAGTCGGAGGGTGTGTTTTTCTTTATTAAGTTTCTTCTCATATTTAGATTGGTATACAAAAAACAAATTATTTAAACTAAACAAAGCCTATTCTGAAATATGGGTAAGGTAGTGATAACAGAAGGCCCGAATAAACTTAAAGATAAGCTTTATTCCAGATTCTCAAAAGAATTGAAAAAAATCAACTGCTTATATCTACAGTCGACTGTTCCATTCTCAACAGGGGCGGAAGAGAGATCACAATTGCATCTGAATACTACAGGTATCCATTAAATTTACGTTTAAATATATGCGATGGAGTGATGGATAACGACTCCGATTGAAGAATTCCACTCGAAACTATTTCATTGACTTATGTGGTATTACCCTTTGGAAAGCTGTGAATATTCTTCTCCCTGCAGCTATCGGTAAATAGCAGGACAGGCCGGGTTCTATAGCTTTGAACGGCAACTATTATACCGCAGAACGAATTGACAACTTAGTGCAAGAAAAAAAAATCTGCTTCTTCAGTCATGTATCAAAAGGTACATGATCACCTAAGCATGTATTACTCATGGAACATAACTGTACTGGTGTTCACTTACGTGCTAATACCCTTGGGAAAGGTATGGATAAAATTCTTCTTCCCCTAGCTATAGATAAATTGCAGGACGGGCCGAGTTCTGTAGCCTTTGATGGCAACTGGTACATCGCAGAAAGAAATGGCAACTGTTACATCGCAGAAAGAAATGGCAACCTACTGGCGAAAAAAAATCTGCCTCGCCAAATATGTATCGAAAGATACATGATCACCTAAGCGTGTATCACGCATGGCACATTACTGATGACTGATATATATATATATATATATATATATATATATATATATATATATATATATATATATATATTGTAGTTGGGTGACCACGTTTAAGTTTATTGAACTATTCACTGAGCTGCCAATCTGATAAATGTGTATCATTGAAGGCATTTAGTTCGTGAAAAATACATTTCTCAACAACTAATTTTTAGTTGCTTCAAAAATGAAACTGTCCCAACAGAAGTCAATATTTCAGAATAACCGGCGAAATCAATGCTTTAGAAAATTGTGGACGAATTCTAGTAATATTTTTTATTATCAGAAAATTGAAATTTCATTCGTCTGAAATAAAGAATATTACTAGAATTCAAAGAATATTTCTAAAGAATTCATTGTAATTATACACTTCTAAACATATTTATTTTTATATATTTTGACTGTATAGCATAGAAATGTGCCGTATATATGAATTAATTCATACAATCTTTGGAAACAAAATCTGTAATCCAAATTATGTTAGTTCATTCTATGATAACAGAACATTTATCGTCATTGAATCATTAATTTTGGTCTGCTTCAAAATTTCCGTTACGGACATGATTTTAAATAAACGAAAAACAGAGTATCAAACAATTTCTAAAGACTACCTTTTTTAATCTACAGGAATAAATTTTGTAATTACCGTATTTTACGACATATATGACACACGGGTATACAGGACGCACCCCAATTTCAGCAGGGAAAATAAAACAAATTGTAATTATTAAAATTAATGGAATTATTTGTAAATAATACAGCCTAGGCTATATTTATGAGTTATTATTTTGGGTAAACAAGTCATGATTAAATGAAAAAATATTAGGAATAAAATAACACGAGCCTATAAAACATTTATTATATCTTCGGGTAAGAAAATAAAATAAAAATCGAACAATTATTAAAACTGAGCAAAACATTATTTACCATTAAAATTTTATTCATCTACAAATCCATAAAATTCGACGTCTTCGTTATGAAAACACTGATACTCATTTTCAGTACCTCCATCATCGTCGTTAAATAATGCGACATCTTCCGTTCCATTGAAAGCATTGCTAATGCGACACATTTTACAAGATTTCACAAAAATTCCTGGCCTAATATTATCCCAAGCTTTCTTCACCCATTCGCAGATTTTTGCCAGGCTGTGTCTTTTATTCTTCCTATAAGAGTAAGGTCGTGATCATGCATTGCCAACCATGCGTTCCATTGTTCCTTCATGTTTAAGTCTAAGCTTATAGGTGTTAGCAGGTAGCGAATTTCGGACGACTATCGCGAATTTTAACCTATATATGGCATATAAGACTCAGGCGAAATTTAAAAGATATTTTAGTAAAAAATAAGTGCGCCTTATATGCTGTCAAATACGGTAAATAAAATATTATGTGATTTATAAGAACGATGTGGGTGTTAGACCATTGAATAATTAATGATACTTCAAGTCGTTTCAGGTTATTTCTTTAAGAACTTAAAGAAAGGCAGAGGCGAAATCCGTGCATTGTGAGATCGATTATAAGCAAATCATTTTACTTGCCGTTAGTTATCACTCCTATTCAATCCAAATGCATAAACACTCCAAGTGCAAGATTAATCAATATATTTTAATTAATTTCAATAAGAGTTTTTAACAGTATTTACATTAGTCGGACTATTGTCCTCATCTTTGTCGCCATATTTGTCATGAAACGTTTCAGCCGTTGTACGCTCCGGCCTTCTTCAGGTGGTTGGAATTTCGAACTGAACCCTTTATTTCGATCACTGGGGTAGACTGTTCTAGTTCCATGTTTGATGGATGTCAGTTATCAGTTATCTCCTGCTAATTTTCCCTCTGAAAGTTCTCCACTGCCTTAACCAGGTATTGAACTTACTTTCTTGGATCTGTCACTGGATCTAACCAACGACTTTATCCACTGCGACATGTGTCCTTCATCTGGGTATGAACTTCTGAGTATTATAAACCTAATGTTTTCAGCTTCATTTTTTACCAGTGCTCATATTGCAATTTTGCTGTTATCATTCCATGTCTTTACCAGAGTTCATATTGCAACTTTGTTATCATTGCTTTTCTCTGGCACTCATTATTACTGGTTCCGAAATTGTATTTATTTCTATGCTTGGCCGGCTCAGGAGATTTTTGTGGCCTAGCACCTGAAGAAGGCCGGAGCGTACAACGGCCGAAACGTTTCGTGACAAATATGGCGACAAAGATGAGGACAATAGTCCGACTAATGTAAATACTGTACATAATACCTCATCACAGAAATATAGACAGAATAGTTTTTAAGTTTAATCCATAGATGCCAGATATAAAATTTTAATCATTAATTATAGACAAAAATGGTCATGTTATATTTTTTTTTCATACTTTCTGTGTGGAACATATAAATGTTTACAGTATAAAATGTATATGTATGTAAACATATATTTGTGTCTGTGTGTACATTCTGGTAATTTATTATCGTAATCTTTATTTCTTAAGGTTAATGTATATTCTCGTAACAATCTTTTTATGTTAACCGTGTATAAATGTTAAAATCTCATTTTAACATCTTAATCTCAACGTGTGTTTGTTTGTTTGTTAATTTCTTTCTTTCTATCTCATTATTTTCAATTTTTCTGTCTTTCGAATTTATATTTTTACACACCGTTTTTTCTTTCTCATCTTATGATTTTTTCGATCCTTCTTTCGCTCTTTCATTCATTCGGTCATTCATTCTTGATTTCAATTCCTTCTATCGTTCATTAATTCGTTTTTCTTTCGCGCTTTCATTCTTCGGTCATTCATTCTTGATTTCGTTCGTTCTCAATCTCTGTTTTTCCTTCTATCGTTCATTAATTCGATTTTTCTTTCGCGCTTTCATTCATTCGGTCATTCATTCTTGATTTCGTTCGTTCTCAATCTCTGTTTTTCCTTCTATCGTTCATTAATTCGATTTTTCTTTCGAGCTTTCATTCATTCGGTCATTCATTCTTGATTTCGTTCGTTCTCTATGTCTGATTTTCCATCTAGGTTCATTAATTCGAAATTTCTTTAGCATTTTCATTCATTCGGTCATTCATTCTTGATTTCCTTAGTTCTCAATCTCTTTTTTTCCTTATATCGTTCATTAATTCCATATGTCTTTCTTACTTTCATTCATTCGATCATTCATTCTTGATTTCGATCGTTATTAAACTCTGTTTTTCCTTAATTCGTTCATTAATTCGCTCTTTCTTTCGCGCTTTCATTCTTTCGGTCATTCATTCTTGATTTCTTTCGTTCTCAATCTCTGTTTTTCCTTATATCGTTCATTTATACCATCTGTTT